TAGCTGCATTGTGATTATTAATATAGTAATTAATAATAAGAAAAGACGGATGACTTCACTCTATCGACTTCAAACGGGTGTAGCTCGGTCAGTTTTTGTCCGATTCCAACAAATCATAAATCATTTTGAAGGTCTTTTAATGGAGAATGTCATTTTTTAAATTGCTCATTGTGACTCGTTTTGTCAGCACAGGTCACATTAGTCTCAGGAGGAAGCACATGTTGAGGCGGTAAATGACAACAACGCATGCACGATGTTTCAGATGGTATGTGGCAAGTGTAAACACATGAATCGGATATGGGTCACAATTGAAAGAACGTGTAAACGGACAGCCAAAAAAATCAGATATAGGCAACAAATCAGAATTGGGCATCAAGACCTGCAGTGTAAACGAGGCCTCAGATACACCTAATTTATATACGTTAGAGCAGTCGGGATGAATTTCATGGTGAATTGCATACATACGTATTTCGCCTGAGCATATCACATCATATTCAATCACAAGAAAAAAATCACAAGTACACACTAATGTCCAATTTGCAAATAAATCGTTCTTTTGAACTGGCTCTTTTTTGTGAAACAATACTTTATGGTTCCTCTGGGTTTATCTAAAAAGTTGAGCTGATTAAGACTATAGTTTATTCACTTGATAAGCTTTAGACATCATTATTGAATACTTTAATATTAGAATTAGTATATGAGATGTAATTGCATGATTATGTAAACTAACTGGTACATTTCTTTTTTTTTTTTAACTGATCATTGAAACAAGCTGTCTGAAAGAACCAGTTTGTGGAAAATAATCTGTCTTCCTATCGCTAGTACACACAACAAATTAAAAATTCCCAGTATTTTTGATCAAACCATTTAAAAGGACTGACTCATAAAAATCATTGATTTGTGAATCAGACTGATCTGGTCCTGAATGAGATATAAGGACACTGATAATCCCTTTATTTGATGAAAATTATATTTTGGTATCATTCGTGCTAATTAACAAACCCACAAATATGCTATAAAAGCAGTAGCAGATATGATGCCACTACTTTTTATGGAATATAGAACAACCCACAATAGAAATTTCATTTCAGTCCTCCATTTAAATCACTTTGCTGAGTCAGTGTCCATGAGGTTGATGTAAATAACTATAGATCCTTCCGGCTATTTGAATGGGAGAGTACAGAGTAGTCTCGATTAAGACGTCACTTTCCTCTAAGAGTAAATTATTGATCCCTAGATACAAAATGTGTATTGCCGGTGGCCGCATCGCTCTCTTTTTGACCTTTTGTTCTCAGAGGAAAATGATTCCGAGAAATAAGGAAGAGATGTTCTCTGAAATTACATTCCTTCTCGGGTGTAGAAGTGCTACCCAGACTGCCTCTCTGATACTGGAGTGGGATATTAACCATCGAAAGTTAGGGCCGAGAAGGCCAGCCATCCGAAATGTCCAAGAGTTTCCCCCTGCTCTCATTGCACCAGACAATAACTGCCACCGCTGACAAAGTCCATTTCTCACAAGCACTTACCTAGGAGAGAGCGAGGAAACACAGCAACCCTGGAACACCTCTGTCGGGCAGCACAGCGTGGATGGTGACTGGAGCAGCCATTTTCCAATCTCGCCCTCTAATTATTTTCTCCAGCATGCCCTGGAAAGATTTCCTCACACAGTGAGACTAAGTGATGTACAACTCATTAAATTCCTGTGGTGACAGAGAATGCGGAATAGATCAGTAGACGGAGACTTTGGTCGGAAAGAATACTGGCATACTGGCAGTATTTGCTGCTTGCTATTTTTTTTTTTTAATGTGGCAGTATGTAATGATAAATGTAATTCATAATTTATTAATGTGTAACATGCAACGCTGTCATCAGGCCTACACAGAATCTGAGTGCACAAAATTCCTTTAGAAAACTTATTCACAATATTGTACACATCATCTGCCCTTTAATTTATTAAATATTTACCAGCAAACATGAATAAGATTACCTTTATGGTACTATGATATGCAGCCAAAAATATGTTTATCATGGCCACAATCAAGAATGTGTTCCCCATTTATATTTATTTGTTCCCTCATTTTATTTAAATCATGGCCATAATTTACTATTCATTCCCTTTATTTTGATTAAATAAAAAATAAAAAAATAATATTAACAATAACATAAAATTAAATGTTAATATTAAATATAATATTATTTAAATTTAACTAATAATGAATATTAATAATTAAACTTGGCCTTGATTTATTAATAAATGAATGACTAAGCTAAACAAAGCCACTTTAAATAAATTAAGAAAACCAATTAATAAGTAATTGAAATGAATGACAACATAAAATAAAATATTTTATGTTATGCTATTAATGTTATTAAAAATGTAATTGATGAAATATGATTCAATATCATGTTAAATCTATCTAGATGAATTTACAGTATATGCACTGCAGAAATAACATGATTAAATTGCCTACAGAACCCGAATGTTAGTATGCATAACTGGCACAAGTTTCTCCCGCTGATTACAAATGAGTTATTTTCTTACTCCTCCTGTCTGATATAACCTGTTTTTCATTGCTACAGGAGCACAACAACACCTCACCTAGGTGCACCTACAAGAGCACAACAACGCCTCAATTTACACCCTCTTAACATTGCTTTGTGTCACAAATTCAGCCTCTGTGGCTCCCTCCGATCACCACCAGAGGGAACCATCACCGGAGTACTGAGCTATCCCTTCGGACTCCAATTCCCACAATGCCCCATGCCAGAGACTAATCACCTGCACAGGTGTTTCCCTGCTCTCATTGCGAAGTCTTGTTTTGCCTTGCAGATATTTCTGAGCATTTTCCCTGTGTTGAATATCTGTTGATTACCTGGACTGTTTACCCGTTTACGATTGCTTGCTGCCTACCTATTCTGACCCTGCCTGCCTTGTTGATTCATGCCATTGTTTGTCTGCCGCCTGCCTCGACCCTGATTACGAACACTGTTTACGATTCTGCCCAGCCTTCATTGTGTCTGACGCCAGTTAACGATTTATGCCTGTATGACCTGCCTTGTGAACTAATAAAGCTGCACATGGATCCTAACGCCACTGCATCTTTGTTATAGAAGACTTCGCCAGAAATTGATCCAGCAGCATTCTATCACTTCACCACAGAGGTATCTGCTCAAGCATCGGTTCTGGCCACACACCAGCAACAATTAAACCGACTTACCTCACTAACGGAGGAGATGGTAAAGACCTTGCAAGCCCTTCGTCTGCAAGCACCCGAAGCTCACGCCCCTCCTTCAAATCCACCGCTTCAAGCCCCGGTTGCACCTACCTCCAACGCCAGCCCTCGTCTGGCGTTCCCCGAGAAGTTTGATGGCTCACCCTCAAAATGTAAGGGTTTCTTACTCCAATGTTCCATGTTTGTTCACCAACAACCCATGTTGTATCCCACAGACGATAGTCGCATCGCATTTGTCTGTTCGCCGAGGACTCAACGACATCACCATAAAGTTTCGCTACCCCTTGTCCCTAGTCCCTGCAGCTCTGGAACAACTCCGAAAGGCAAAATACTTCACCAAGCTGGATCTGCGCAGTGCTTACAACCTCATTCGCATCCGTGAGGGTGATGAATGGAAGACTGCGTTCTCTACCACAACTGGGCACTACGAGTATTTTGTTATGCCGTTCGGGCTTGCCAACAGTCCTTCAGTGTTCCAGGCCTTCATCAATGATGTGTTCAGAGACATGTTAAATCGCTTGGTCATTGTTTACATTGATGACATCCTAATTTACTCAGATTCGTACGAGGATCATGTCAAGCATGTCCGGGCGGTCTTACAACGTCTCATCAGTCACCAGCTATATGCCAAAGCCGAGAAGTGTGAGTTTTATCAGGAGACAGTATCATTCCTCGGATACGTGATCAGTTCAGGAGGGGTGGCCATGGACGACAAGAAGGTACGAGCCGTTGTCGACTGGCCTCTACCTGCCACCTTAAAAGAACTACAATGCTTTCTAGGATTTGCCAACTTCTATCGGAGATTCATTCGTAACTTCAGCACAGTGGCAGCTCCCATGACTTCTATGATTAAGAAGGGTAGTCAGCGCCTCGAATGGTCCTCAGCAGCCCGTTCAGCCTTTCAGACCCTCAAGGAGAGATTTACAACCGCACCCATCTTGCACCATCCCGACCCAGAACGAGAGTTCATTGTGGAGGTGGACGCATCCAGCATGGGCATTGGGGCAGTTCTCTCTCAACGACATGGTAACCTGCCTAAGTTATATCCCTGCGCCTTTTATTCCCGCAAAATCAATCCCACCGAGCAGAACTACGATGTGGGCAACCGAGAGCTTCTTGCCATGAAGGCCGCCTTTGAGGAGTGGCGTCCCTGGCTCGAGGGAGCCAAACACCCCTTTACTGTACTCACCGATCACCGCAATCTGGAATATCTGAAATCAGCCAAAAGACTCAATCACAGACAGGCAAGATGGTCACTGTTCTTCACCAGATTCAACTTCACAATAACCTACCGTCCAGGCTCTCAGAACACTAAGGCGGATGCTCTATCTCAACTCTACGAATCATCCACACTGTCTCCCTGTCAGGAATCCATCATTCCGTCTACCATCATTCTCGCACCCGTACAATGGGACATCATGACTGAGATCACAGACGCTCTGGGCACCGAACCACCTCCAGCCGAAACCCCACCTAATCTCACATATGTACTGCAAACTCTATCAGCCTTCTGCCGACAGCTCAACATCAATGTCAGTCTTACCTCCGGGTATCACCCACAGTCGAACAGTCAGGTGGAACGTCTCAATCAAGAACTCACTCGTTTCCTCCGATCATACTGCCATCGCAATCAGACCGACTGGAGCCGCTACTTACTATGGGCCGCGTATGCACTGAGCTATCCCTTCGGACTCCAATTCCCACAATGCCCCATGCCAGAGACTAATCACCTGCACAGGTGTTTCCTATTGCCCAGTCTATTTAAACTGTGCCTTCCCTGCTGTCATTGCAAAGTCTTGTTTTGCCTTGCAGACATTTCTGAGCGTTTTCCCTGTGTTGAATATCTGTTGATTACCTGGACTGTTTACCCGTTTACGATTGCTTGCTGCCTACCTATTCTGACCCTGCCTGCCTTGTTGATTCATGCCATTGTTTGTCTGCCGCCTGCCTCGACGCTGATTACGAACACTGTTTACGATTCTGCCCAGCCTTCATTGTGTCTGACGCCAGTTAACGATTTATGCCTGTATGACCTGCCTTGTGAACTAATAAAGCTGCACATGGATCCTAACGCCACTGCCTCTTTGTTACACTTTGATTATAACAAGTTGCACGGATGTTCAAAACGCATGTCTGAACACACTAATGTCATCCGACACCAGCTCAAAAATGAGTAATGGATACACACTCCCAACTTTCAAGCAGAAGACAAATCCCAGATGAATATGAAATTACCTGATTGTATAAAAGCTGACTTTTATGTATCCAGAGTCAAGGTTTGAATCTGCATTAGAGCTATTCCTTTATTCATGGTGATAAACAACTTGGATAGTTGTCTAAATGCCAGATTCCCCTGATTGATTGCTAAACTTTACTTTGACCTTTCCAATGGGCTTATCACAAGTTCTCCTGCAGTATCAGAGAACGGTTGCCTTGCATTCGCTGCCGTGTAACCGATCCTGTCTGCCCTCTTTCCCCGTTACCAGATAATACTACAGAGTGCTTTGATACATAATGCAGAAGTAAATGGCCAGGCTTTCTTCTAATAGAAACTTCATTTTACGCTTTCATGATCTCAGGACATTTCCTCTTTATGCATCAAAGGTGTTTATCAAAGCAGAACATCTGCATTCAGCAGTCTGTTTATTTATTTATTTAGGACTCATTTCAGAAGCCAACCATAAAGTTCATAGCTCAGATAATAAAAAGCTTTTTGTGTCAAACCTATCAGTTGTATATTTGGTAATCAGTAGCAAAGAAATAGCCTAACGTGGTGCTCCCTGTGGGGAAAAAAAGGTACATTAGTTAAAGCCAGTTTCACTTTTGGATGTACTAAGATAAGATAAGATAAGATAATAATGAACACTGAATACTAACATTTCACCTTAATAGCAAAGACAAATGTTTGACTCATCTGGTTACAACTATCTTATAGACTCAAAATGTTGCCCTCAATGTTCCTCACTCTAGATGCCAAGAGCAGTGCAGCCACTGCTTCATTCAGGTAATTTTGTTAAGTCTGGGAATGCTGCAGGTAGCGTTTTTTCTTCAAAGGATAAAGTGGATTTGTATTCAACATGAATTACAAGCGCTCTTCTAGTTCCAGAGAGCCACAGAATATTTTTTTTAGATAAGATGGTGAAAAAACCTTGAGCTCATTTAAAGCACTACTGAGTACAAAAGATAAGAATTCAAAGAAGCATTTCTTGTCCCCAAGGACCAATCAGATTTGATGTCACTTTGCTGAACACTCATATGAAGGAAGGCAAAATGCTGAAAAGTCAAACAATGCCGTGAGCTAGTGCTGCCAAACGTTTTGCCTCTGTTTCAATCATGCTTTTCGGTATTTCTGTGCTGATGTTTGTTTGTGTGTGAAAGAGCGAGTATCTTGTGTTTAATGAGTGTAATGCATTGAATCAAGATTCCTATAAAATGTGTTTTGTTAACTGCTACTTTAGTTAAATTACTATTTAATGCTATGCATAACTTATTCATACAGTGTCACAGAGTCTAGTTGGTGTGCCCCTTATAGTCACTAGTGGGCACACTTTGTAGTTTTGTTTTGTTTCTCTGGACTTCAGTTCCCATCACCCTTTGCTTTGACATTCTAGTCTCATTACATTCAGCTGCGTCTCATTATCTTGTTAACTCATCCTCATATAAGCTCGGGTTTCTGTGTCCTTAGTTGCTGGTTGATTGTTTTTTGTTATGTGTTTCTTTATTCTGGTTGCCCTGTTTTTTTCGTAAAAAGCGCTATACAAAAACTTGAATTGAATTGAATTCACTCCAGTCCGGGAGCTCTCAGAGTCCACTCCAGAGTCTGTTCCAGTCCGGGAGCTCTGAGAGTCCACTCCAGAGTCTGCTTCAGTCCGTGAGTTTTCAGAATTCACTCATGAACTTACTCCGGTCCAGGAGTTTTCAGAGTCTATTCCAGATCCCACTCCAGTCTGTGAGCCTTCCGAGTCCACTCATAAACTTACTCCGGTCCAGGAGTCTTCAGAGTCCACTCAAGAGCCCGCTCCAGTCCGTGAGCCCTCCGAGTCCACTCTAGAATCCACTCCAGTCCAGGAACCCTCAGAATTCAATCCAGAGCCCGCTCCAGTCCGGGAGCCCTGAGAATCCAATGCAGAGCCCGCTCCAGTCCGTAAGCCTTCAGAATTCACTTCAGAACCTGAGGAGGTGGGTTCTGCTGTGGAGCCCCTCGAGGCGGCGACATCCGCTTCAGCTCCCCTCTGGTCGGTGCTGTCCATTCCAGAACTCTCAGCCTGCCTTGTCATGGCCAAAGAGACTGTGGTCGAACTGTCTGCCTGTCCCGTTACAGCCGTCAAGGCTGTTACTAACATCTCTGTGCTTATTTTTGCAGTACTACATGAGTTGCTAGGAGGTTCATCGGCCCTGTCAGCTCCATTGAGGTGGTCATCAGTTCTGCCTTTACAGTCTGCCAAGCTCCTGGTTCTGCCCTGGTCGTCCGCTGGGGTTGTTGTTCGGCTAGAGCCTCGCTGGTCTGTCCCCCCCCCCCCCCCCCCTCCCTT